CTTACGTGCCCAATAGCCAATCTCTCAATGTGGCTGGATGAAGCTTGGAAACAAAAGCACAAATTATCAGGACCTGTCATTAACTTTGGCATAATCTGACTACAAAGCAATCCTGATTCCACTTTGAGATAGTGAGAACTGCAGATGTTGGAGTCAGAGATAACATGTGGAGCTGGAGGAGCACAGCAGACCAGGCAGCATCAGAGGAGCAGGAAAGTTGACATTTCGGGTTGGCACCCTTCAGAAAAACAATTCTCATTTTTTATTCTGAAGTAGGGTCCCAACCTGAAACATCAACTTTCCTGCTCCTCTGTTGTCTGGCCTACTGTGTTCCTCCAGTTCCACATTGTGTTACTTCATTCCACCTTCCCTCCTTTTCCCACACTACATGCACAGCTTCAAGCTAATGTGCTAATATCCAGCCTCTGGTGTCAGATAGGGGGGAAAAAATATGCCTAGGGAATCCACCCTGCTAGAATATCTTCCATCTTGCTTTAAATGATGGTTTAACAACATAATTTCTTACCAGAGGCCTCATTTTGAAAAAACATAGCTTCATTTCCTAAGATAGTAGGAACTGTCGACGCTGGAGAATCTGAGATAACAAGGTATAGAGCTGGATGAACACAGCAGGCCAAGCAGCATCAGAGGAGCAGGAAAGCTGATGTTTCGGGTCTGGACCCTTCTTCAGAAAGAAGAGTCTGAAGGGTCCAGACCCGAAACATCAGCTTTCCTGCTCCTCTGATGCTGCCTGGCCTGCTGTGTTCCTCCAGCTCCACACTGTCATCTCTGACTCCAGCATTGGCAGTTCTTACTATCTCAAAGTTATATGTAAGACAGTTTGAAAAGGTCTTCCCATAACTAGCATCCAACAGCATTGTTTCCTTTCAGTGTCCGGTTTCATCAATCATCATGAGCCCTGACGTCATGAGTTGAGCTAAAGTGGACTTTTGTCTTTTTTTAAAATATATATAATTTGTTATTAAAATGGCACTGGAGTATGACAACTTAAGGCTTTGTACTTTTTTTTGTTTAAATGAAAGTACAAAAGTGGCAATAAATTACTATCCTATTCTAAAAAGAAAGGTTCAATGAAGAATGAAGAATGTCACAGAATCCTGGACAGTAACCACAATACAGGACAAAGTATATTAAAAGAAATATTGAGTGTTGCTGATAAAGGAACAGCAATCATAGGTGATTTTATTCTATGCATATACTGGTAAAATCAGATTGGCAGTTGTAACCTAGTTCAGGAGTTCATAGAATGCTTCAAGATAGTTTTTTAGAGCAGTGCTTTGTGCAAACAGAGAGCAGATTGTGTGAGGTTTGGTATTTTGTAATCTGATAGGATTAATTAATAGCCTCAAAATGTGACTTCCACATACAGAAGTCACTGCCACACATGGACCTATGAAATCATGCAGCAGTTAAAAAATAGAGGGAAGACAGGAGAGGAAGTACTGTGGATAGCTAAAGAAGTTAAGGAAAGCGTCAAACTTATTGAAAAAGTCAGATGATTGATACATTATTTAAAGGACAGCAGAAAATGCCTAAACTGATATTCAGAAAACAGTTAGAATATGAAAGGAACTAGCCAGCAATGTGTGAGAAAAAGATGTCAGGAGTTTCTATCGGTATTTCAAAATGAAAAGAGTAAATGAAGTGAAATTGGTGTCTAAAAGAGTGAAAGCGAGGAGTTAATAGATCATAGAATCCCTACAGTGTGGAACCAGGCCCTTTGGCCCAACAAGTCCACAATGACCCTCAGAGCATCCCACCCAGACCCATCTCCCTCACCCAGACCCATCTCCCTCATCTACACCTCCCTGAGCACTGTGGGTAATCTAAGCAAGGCCAATTCACCTAGTCTGCACATCTTTGGACTGTGGGAAGAAACCGGAGCAAAACCACACACACGCAAGGAGAACGTATAAACTCCACAAAGACAGTCGCATTAGGGATAGTCAACACGGTTTTGTGAAGGGTAGGTCGTGCCTCACAAACCTTATTGAGTTCTTTGAGCAGGTGACCAAACAAGTGGATGAGGGTAAAGCGGTTGATGTGGTGTATATGGATTTCAGTAAAGCGTTTGATAAGGTTCCCCATGGTAGGCTATTGCAGAAAATACGGAGGCATGGGCTTGAGGGTGATGTTAGCGGTTTGGATCAGAAATTGGCAATCTGTAAGAAGACAGAGGGTGGTGGTTGATGGGAAATGTTCGTCCTGGAGTTCAGTTACTAGTGGTGTACCTCAAGGATCAGTTTTGGGGCCACTGCTGTTTGTCATTTTTATAAATGACCTGGATGAGGGCGTAGAAGGATGGGTTAGTAAATTTGCAGATGACACCAAAGTCGGTGGAGTTGTGGATAGTGCGGAAGGATGTTGCAGGTTACAGAGGGACATAGATAAGCTGCAGAGCTGGGCTGAGAGGTGGCAAATGGAGTGTAATGCGGAAAAGTGTGAGGTGATTCACTTTGGAAGGAGTAACAGAGTATTGTGCTAATGGTAAGATTCTTGGTAGTGTGGATGAGCAGAGAGATCTTGGTGTCCATGTGCATAGATCACTGAAAGTTGCCACCCAGGTTGATAGCGTTGTTAAGAAGGCGTACGGTGTGTTAGGTTTTATTGGTAGAGGGATTGAGTTTCGGAGCCATGAGGTCATGTTTCAGCTGTACAAAACTCTGGTGCGGCCGCACTTGGAGTATTGCGTACAGTTCTGGTCACCACATTATAGGAAGGATGTGGAAGCATTGGAAAGGGTGCAGAGGAGATTTACCAGGATGTTGCTTGGTATGGAGGGAAGGTCTTATGAGGAAAGGCTGAGGGACTTGAGGCTGTTTTCGTTAGAGAGAAGAAGGTTAAGAGGTGACTTAATAGAGACATAACAAGATGATCAGAGGATTAGATGGGGTGGACAGTGGGAGCCTTTTTCCTTGGATGGTGATGGCTAGCACGAGGGGACATAGCTTTAAATTGAGGGTTGATAGATATAGGACAGATGTCAGAGGTAGGTTCTTTACTCAGAGTAGTAAGGGTGTGGAATGCCCTGCCTGCAACAGTAGTAGACTCGCCAACTTTAAGGGCATTTAAATGGTCATTGGATAAACATATGGATGATAATGGAATAGTTTAGGTTAGATGGTCTTCAGATTGGTTTCACAGGTCGGCGCAACATCGAGGGCCGAAGGGCCTGTACTGCGCTGTTATGTTCTATGAGGGTGCAATTGAACCCGGGTCCCTGGCACTGTAGGCAGCAGTGCTAGCCACTGTGCCGCCCTAGTAGTAGATAATAAGGAAACTGTGGATGAAATGAACAATTACTTTGCTTCTGTCCTCATTTGAAGAGGATACAAAATATTCCAGTAATAGCTGTTAACCA